GTTCTGAAGTGGGTAAACAGAAAGGCTTGAGCAAGTGCAGAGGTGTTCCCTGCAGTGGATTCCCAGAAATTCTGGGCTGTGGATCTCTGCTAATTTTGCACATTTTTCCTGCAGTGCTGCACCACCTTTTTGTTCCCACTTCCAGCTGAAAAATAAATGGTTGTAAAATGGTGTGTGGAGAGCATGCCACGGCTTTGGGGCTGTTGCTGGTCCACAAACCACAGCTTGGCTGCTCTACAGTGTTCCCAATTGTGCTGGGGTAGCCCTTAGCAGTGAATACTTGGTTTATTCTTTATCCTCTTTTCAGCCCATGGCTTGTTTCTTGCCAGTCAGAGCAGTGCTGTTCATCCTCCTCCCCTCAGCAGCCAGGAAGGGAAATTCTTCCTCTCAGAGAAGAGCTTTTTCCTCCCTTTCCTCTTAATTCCAGGCACATTCACTCGAAATTCCCAAGGCAGGATATTGAAAATTTCCTCTAGTTAATAGGGTTCACAAATTTACCAACTAGAGAAAATGTAAAATGTTGATACATTTTTGGCCAGAGAATTGCATGAAATCCCTGTATTTTAACGATATGGCCAAAGGACCAAATTCCCAGTGCTGAAATGGTTTTCTGTGGGTTCCCTCTCCCTCTGGTTTTCCCATGGATGCACATCATTGCTGTGATGTGGCTGGGTGGGCTGTTGGCTGCTGTATTTGAAAATACATATGTATATATAAAGAGCCTGGAAAAGAGAAGCTTTGGGGTGACCTAATTGGGGCCTTCCAGTCCCTGAAGGGAGCTGAGGAGAAAGATAGAGAGAGACTATTTACAAGGGCCTGGAGGGACAGGACAGAGGGGAATGGCTTCAAAGTGACAGATGGGACGTTTTACCTGCTCAGAGACCACAGCCTGGTCAGGGCTGGGATGGACACTGTCCATCCAGCTGCAGGACTGCTCTGCTGCTCTGGCTGGTGCTCAGCAGCACAAAGTGCCAGAGCTCGAGGAGTGTCTGGACGAGGCTCTCAGGCTCATGGTGGGGTTCTTGGTGCTGTCCTGTGCAGGGCCAGGAGTTCTGCACCCTGGTGATCTTTGTGGGTCCCTTCCAGCTCAGGATATTCTGTGATTTCATGATTCTATGACCTGAGATGTTTTCTAGAGCCACAACAAGCTGGCTGGGAGGAGCTGTTTGCTCTGCACGTCCTGTTGTTCTCCAGTGCTCCAAGGGACTGGTGTGGTCACTGCACTGCAGCCAGGCAGAGTCACTCTGCCATTAACTCAACTGTTAACAGCACAAATTAGGCACAGAAGGGTCACAGACTGTGATTTCATCTGAAATATTAATGTGAACTTGTGGGCAAGTAGGAATCAGAGGCCCTCAGCTAATTTAAGGCAAAGTGAGTGTTTTCAAGGCAGTTCTTTCCATGAACCAGCTGTGTGGTGTTCCCTGAAGAAGAGGCAGGTTTGAGACAGTGCAGGTGGCACAGCCCATGTTCCAGAGCTGGCAGTGATGTCCCCATGGTGCTGACCTGGGCAGGATGGCTTGGGAAGGGTGAATGTCAAGGGCAGGTGCCCAGGCACTGGTTGAAGCACTGAAGTGCTCATTTAGTTTTGTCTTACTGACACCATTGGTGTTGTACTGAGCTCTTACTAAAAATTAACATGAAAATGAAGACCAGGTTATTGGAAAAAGTGCTATTACCTGCCTGTTGACCTCTGTGCAATTACTGGGCATTCTCCTCTCTTTCCAACTCGGAGCAGAAGTGTAAACACCTCTTTAAAATCAAGATTCTCAGAGGTGCAGCAGGGGCTGGTTCCACTCTGTCATCTTCTTTGCCTTCAGGGTTTGCTGAATGCATCAGGCCGTGCCTATTGAAGTTTTGGTTGAGTTTTTTTTTTTCTGAAATGACAGTTTATCTGAGCTCAGGGAATGAATGGATAACGTTACTATTTACATAAGCTCATTGTGATCTGTCTCGGTAATGTAATCAAATTAGGGTTAACTGCAGCTGCAGAATGCCAGCTTGTAAACTGTTTTTCAAAAAGAATCACATGGTGTTACTTGACATGTTTAGTATACATTCAGGGGGCTTTGCAAAAATTATAGCACATCCCCAACTGATGTAACTGAGTCAGGATTGTGTTGCCACCAGTTCCCTGGACCCAGGAAAGGGAAGGAGGTGAAATCCATCGCCGGGGCAGATCCACCTCCAGCCCAGTCCCACAGCACAGGCTGCTCTGACGTGGCTGCTGCTGACATGTTGTCTTTCCCTTGGCTAAAATCAACATATCAGTTGATAGAAAAAGCCTGTGGTGTAAATTCTGAGCACATTTAGGAACATCTGTGTGAAGTGCAGGAGTGCAGCCCCCAGCACACGTCCAGCTCTATATTTAGTCTCACGGCATTCGCACAAGACAAAGTCCAGCCTGAGCTAAAATTACCCAATGAGTAGATTTTCAAAGTATCTTTTGTTATTCTTATTAATAAACATCACATCTGGAACTCGCTTTCCCTCCATCTCCCTTTCCCCTTCAGTGAGGAGGTGCCATGTACATCCCACATTGCATCACCCCCTTCTCCTTGGGCATGGAGAGGGATCTCCCAGGGTGTGCCAGGGTACCTGTGTGACTCCTGAGCTGCTGTCTGACCACACAGGTGTTGTCACACACTGTTTATTCCACACTGGGAACACAGAATAAGAATTCTGAGGTTTCTTCCACCCCCCCAGGAAGGTTTCTGGGGGCTCAGTCAGAGCCCTGGCAGCTGTTGGGCAGCAGCAGGTTTGGGGTTCTGGCCTCTGCCCCTACACACACACAGACACCCCACCAATCCCAACACCATCCCAGTGTCAAACTGTCAGCCTGCTCTGCTGGCTGGGGAAGTGGGACATTGAGGACATTCAGGCTGTGGGCCATGGCCCAGCCAGGGCAGATGGTCTGTGGCAGAGCTCAGTCCCACACTGTTTTGTTTTGGACATCTTTTTTAAAATCAGGTGTAAAGAAAGGACAGAAAATGTAATCTAACCCCAGTTCTTAGTCTCCCACCACTGCTAAAAGGCTTTTTCACACTCAGAATCATGGAATCCTTAAGGTTGGAAAAGACCTTTAATACCCAGTTCAGCACAAGCACCGTGATCACCATTAAATGTCCATGTTCTGAGAGTCTGAGTGTGGAGAGGCTTCCATTGAAGCTGAAATTCTTCATGAAATCAGGGTTTGTTTCCCCAGAAGTTCTGTAATAGAAGAAAAGTCAAAAATCAGCCACTTTTGGATATTTCAGAGGAGCAGTGGGATCAGCACCACTGAGGGTTTCTGCACAATTACCATTTTTTTAATAGGTATGAAATAATTTTTACAGGAATTGTGTTTTCTTAGAATTTTGAAATTTGGGATCTGCTATGAATTGAAAGGAAAAAAAGAAAAAAAACCCCAAACTTCGAGGACCAGAACTTGCCCCTTGAGCACAGCTCTGTGCAAACCAACAAAAGGAAGCTTGTGTTGGCATCCAGATCCCGACTCAGGAATTCCTGACTCTTAAGCCTGTTTATACAGGACTCCACCACAGCCCAATTTGCACTTCATTTGAGTTTTCTTTCCCCTCCACGTTTATGGTCACGTTGAACGGGTGGATTAAGCATCTGAAGGCACAGATGTAACCAATTGTTATTTAAAGGGGTTTAGCAGATAATAATTGCACTTAAGTGTCTTCATTTGGAGGCAGCAGCATCCCACTGAGGCTTTCCAGTCATTTAGCATCTGTATTTCATCTCTGGGAGCTCCGTGGCCTAATTCTCCAAAGGTTTTGGGGTTGCTGGTTCCCGGGGAGAGCCTGGGAGCAGCCAGCATTCCCGGGCAGGTAGGGGACACTCCTGGCTGGGCAGGATGGATGGTTCAGGATGGATAGTTCACTGCAGTGATTCCCGGGGAGCTGTCAGTGTATGGATGTGCACAGGGACAGGAACACACAGGTTTTTATGGCTCTGGGATTCACCTCTTGATCCCATTTGCTCTCAGCTGCTTTTGAAGCCGCAGTTTCAGTGTCTGGGGGGACTGGTGGAAAGCACAGAATGGTTTAGGGTTCTTCCTTTCCTTTCCTTTTCTCTCTGGTCCCTTCCTGTTCTCCTTCCCCTTTCCCTTCCCTTCCCTTGCTCCTCTCTCCTTTCCTTGTGTTTGACCTCGGCCACCCCAGCCCCTGAGCCCCGGGAGCTGCTCCAATCCCTGGCTGCTCTCTGCGGTCCCTTCCCGGCGTGTTTACCCTGCTGGGCTATCCAGGGGGATGGAAAGTTGAGGTACTTGACCTCCCCGAAAGCCTGCTGACCTGGAGCTAATCTGAGGTGGAGCACAGCAGCGATTTAATGACTTGTTCCCCCACACCTCTGCTGGAGGGGGAATTAAGGAGCTCCCTGAGCAGCCGCCGGGAGCGCTGGGAGGGGCCGGAGCATCCCGGGGCTGTTCCTGCTCCAGGGCCCCCATTCCAGAGAGCCCCTGGGCCCCCATTCCCTTAGGGCCCATGTTCCCAGCCCTGCCAGCTGGGGAAGGAGCACTGCCAGCCAAATGTAAGGGAATTATTTAGAGAAGCTACAGAAAACCTTCAAATATTGATCCTGACGGGTCCCTTCCACCTCACTACATTTTGACTCCATGATTCTGTAATAGTTCTGGTATCAGCCCCCCATCCAGCTCCCAGAATGGCTGGGTTACTCTTCTGCAGTTGAGAGTTTTGGTCGTTATTCTTTATAATATACTATTAATAATTTATTGTTGTTGATGTTGTTGGTGTCATTATTGCATTATTATTGATAATTTATACATCTATTATATTGATATATAATATAACTATTGTATTGATATATAGTATATAACTGATATATATTGATAATAAATATAATTGATAATGTTGTTATTATTATCTTCATCATTATTATAATCATCATCATCACAACCACAGCAATCATCCCTATTATCTTGTAACATTCTTAGTTGTGACTCAACTCTCTTTTGTTTCTGTTCTGTTTTTCCCCAGCAAATACTGACTGATCCTGAGGTGACCTCCCAAGAGGGCAATATAAAAAAGGTAGGATGTGGCTCAATCTTATGTGAAATGTTTTATTCCCTGGCTCTGAAACATACCTGGACCTTTTTTCTTACATTTGTCCCAAAGTGTGTCTGTCGCAAAGATGTCATGAAAGTTTTCCAGTATTTGCTGTTACTGTTTTGGATTAAGTGTTGTGGTTCCATTGGCATATTCTGCTGTCTTTTTGTGATTCCAGTTATTATGAAAGAGAAAATAATAGTTTGAGGTGTTCCTTGACTCTGCTACAACATAAACAGCTGCTGGCCCAAATCAGAAAACCTCATTTACCTCTTTTCCAGTAAAAGAAAATGTTGGTCCTTTGTTAAAAGTGCTACATTTTTGGAGGTCACCTCACTGTGTAAATGTGGCTTATGTGAAGTCCAAGGGAAAAGGAGTAGACATGTGAAAGGGTAAAATTTGACTCATGTGATGTGTTACTGGTGCTTTTCATCACATTGTGGTGCTCATACTCTAACACTGACCAGAGAAAATGTGTTCCTCAGTCAGCCCAGCTGTATAAATGTCTTCATTGGAGCTCTCAGGCAGCCTCAGCACGACATATTTTGGTAGCCAGGCTACTATTCTGGTTGGAGTTATTCTCAGAAGCACTAAGATGAGATTTTTTTCCTGTGTCTATCTGTTGGTTAATGGCTTCACTAATTAAAGTGTTACAAGTTGTGTTTGATTAGAGCCTCTTGGATGCTGGAGCTGGTGTGTCCTCATTTAAATAAGGAGTTGTTTGTGGTTCCTTTCCTATGCAGTTGTCTTCTGAAGGATATTCACAGTCCTGTTTGTAAAGTTTTTGGGAGTGGGAAGTATTTGAGATTGGAACTTGCCACAGCTGCCACTGCTGTTCCTGCAGCGTCGCTGCTGCTCCTTGACTCGGGAAGCTGAAAGCAAACCCCTGTTTCACTCTGGCAAACAAAGTGAAATGTAATACTTGTCAGGCTCCAAAGTTAGGTTGGGAAAAGGTATTTAGATGCATGTCCAGTGTGGACTGTTCTATTCTTACCACGTACAAAAAAAGCAGGTTTTATTTTCGCCAGCCGGGCTCCCAACGGGGAACATCCTCTGACCACGCAGTGACCTCAGGAGGGACCTGTGGCAGCAGAGCTGAACTTTTTACCTTGGGCATCTCCATAACTCATGGGGTGTCTGTCTCTGCCTCTGTGGGATCCTTTTGTCTGGACAGACGTGGTGACAAGGTGGCAGGTTCTTATTATCAAACGCACTTCTCACGAGGGTGGAGCGAAAGCTCCGCTGGTTCTTGTGCAGCCTTTAATTCCAGTATCACAAATGAATTCTCCATCCCCACCTCCAGAATGTGCCCTCAATAGAGCAGGAGTTGTGTGAAACAGGGTAGAAGGAGACAGGAGACTGGCACCTTTGTATGTTCAATCCTTGGGTTTGTATTTAAACTTCATTCCTTCTATTTCAAGGGAGACTGTTGCAAAAACTACAGGTCTTTGTAAAACACCATGTCCCTAAATATTTCCTGTACTACAGATATAAAACTGGACAATTATGATATTTGACAAGGGGGGAAGGACTGGCCTTCCACTTGTGTCTTTTAAATGCATTGTAGAGAAGCACTAGTGGGTTTATGAGGTGATAAATTTATTGAAGGATGGGCAATAGGGTTTTACAGCTGGGGTAAAGGAGGTCAGAGCAGTAAGGTAAAGAGTTCAAGTCTAAACTTTATGGCTTGTGAAAAGACTACTGTGAGACAGCTTTTCAGTCAGAAGAAAATGAAAAATAAAGAATGAGAAATCATTCTGGACATTTTTTGTGGTGTCTTAAAATTGTTTGGAAGGAACACTCTGGTGTTTGGCTCCAGGGGTACAAAACCCTCCTGGGAGCAGATCCCCTCTCCCAGCCTCTCTGAATCACTCAGCTGTCATCACTGAAGACACAATAGTTGAGATTTGACTTCAATTTATTCCTGTTCCTTCAGAGATAAGTTGGTGGCGAGAAGGTGACTGAAGACAAATGTGACTGTGGTGGGTGGGCTGATTTAAACTGGAGCTGCAGAGACCATCATTGCAGTGGCTCCTTTGCTGTATCACAGGTTCAGAACTGGGCACTGACAAGGACTAGAAAGAGAAATAAAAATCTGGAATGCAGGGAAAAAAATCTGTAAAACCAGGAGAAGTCAGGGAAGGGAAGGGGATGGCAGTGAGAGGGGTAGGGAGGATGTGCAGGAAGGTATCTCTGCTTAAAAACTGATCCAGAATTATCTCTGCTGTTAACCTACTGGGGGGAAAAAAAAAGCTCTTTTACATAACTATTCATGAACTGAAAGGCAGTGAGAAGTCTGAAGATGTAGCATAGCAGAGATTGTTATATTTGGCTTGGAGCAAAAAAACAAAATAACTATTTTCCCACTATATCTGGTATTTTTCAGTTTGTATTCCTGTTATTTCTGCTGCGACCACTAACACCACAAAGCTGATTTCTTTGTTAGTGGTCATCTGACAGGAATTAAGATTTCAATATTATCAAAGGACCCATACCCAGGTTCATTTTCTGTATCTGTGCTGTGCCATGGACTAAAGTGTGCTGTACCCCTGATGAGTTCTCTCCTTGTGTCATCTGTGCTTGCTGATATTTAGTTTAACTTGGACAAATATACACGAGCTCCTCACCCTGATTGTTTAGCTTTAAATAATCAATTGTGAAACCAATACGAAAATAGGAAATTCACTCAGAGCTGTGCCCAAACCATGAGTTATACCTTTGGGTGTATTGTCCCCTGGTCCCAAATGCCTTTTCCCCAACCCGTGTCCCTGCAGTCTGTTTATTTTGCTCAGAGAGCAGCTCCTGTGCTCTGTCCCTCTGAATTTTCTGAGCTTCTCGGCTGTGTTTAATGAATGGGAACAGCAGCTCGTTGTCGTTGTTTTCAGCATCGTTGTCACTTTGGCTTTAACTTGGAGCTGAAAGATTCCCACTTCCTCTGGCAGGAAGCGAGGCCGGTGTCCCTCACACATCCCAGGTTTCCAGCGGGTGTGTTTGTCTCTCCTCTAAGAGTCACTTTGGCTGAGGGTTGGAGAAGCTGGGGAAGGATGTGTGTGTGCACAGAGCTCCCAGCCAGGCTCCTCTGGACAGGCTGTTTTTCTGACCGTGGTGACAAGGGACCTCAGGGACTTCTCTCTTCAGTAGACTCTCTATTTAGTTTCTGTTTACTTAGAGGGAATAGCCTGAGGGGCTACTGGAGAGAAAACATCTGTGGGAGATAATCTATAGAGTTATCTATCTATCACTCTTGTCGACCCTGTCTCCCTTGAGAGCAAGCTGAGAGACTTGTAATAAAAAGGCATTGCTGAAGAGGCTTTAGGGACAAATAAAGAGACATGTTAAGGGCCAGCTGAAAAAGGATAGAAGACATTATTAAAGCTCAATAGCCATCTTATCAAAATCCAATAGGATAGGCATTTGGCAAAAGGCTTTAAATTTATTCTTTGACTTTCTGGAGAGCTTGAATTTATCCATTAACAAGAATGTGCTGCACAGGGAGCGGGAGATGCTATCGGCTTCAAAAGGGTTGGATTCAATCTGGTATTGTGCAAAACACAACAAAAACTGAAGACAAAACCAATTTCCCCCCCCTACTTTGGCTGCCTTCATTCCGGCATTGCAAAACACTGGAAGCTGGGAGCGTGAGGCTGATGAGGCTGTAAAGTAAAAGTAATTTATGCAGCACATTTATTTCGTGCTCACAAATCACACGGATGTTTTTAAAAATAAAGTTACCGTTAGAAAACCGGGCGAGATGAGAAATTTCGACCTCTGGCAGAGCACCGAGTAGTAAACAAAAAAAAAAACCCAAAACCTCAGGTAGGTGGAAAGCTTTCAGTCCTGAAACAAAAGTAAAAGCCGGCGAATGTTTTGCCGCTGCAGATGCGAAACGGGGATGGGGCCATAAATCTCCCCGGGTTTGTTATTATATCCAAAACGCTACAGGTCACAGGAACCATCTGATACTTCGGGAACACATTGTTCGCGCGAGATGATTGATTGATAATTATGATAATTTGCCAAATGATTATTTGGGTATTATGAGCGCGGGTTGCCCCGCTCAGCGCTGTGAAGACATTTTCTATATCACGGGCCCGTCAGAAATGGCCTCTGGCAACGAGGGATGTGGAAAGGTCTGGCCGGGCTCTCCCGGCGGGATCTGTGGGACTGATGAATGATGACCCAGAGGAGTAAGAAATCAGACTTCAATAAGCAGTCAGGAAGGTAGTTAGGGAAGAGCAAGGGAACTGTTAACTGTCTTTTGTGCAGCAATTACTGGCCAGGCCAGACCCCCTCGGGCCTGAGCTGGGGCTGTCAGCGCTGCTGTCCACCCCAGAGATCAAATTGGAGATTTGAACTCGGGCTCTGCAAAGGGCCCGGCTCTGCAGCACAAAGCACACGTGCAGTCCTGCAGTTAGCCTGGATTAGGAATATGTTTATTTTCTCTGGCTGGTGAGAGGGGTTCCGAATCTGTTAGTGAAGATTTAAGCCCCCGAATTTCAGCAGTGTTTCTTCACCTTCCCGTGTATTGAAGAATCAACCCCCAGAGCTTTAAAACAATTTTCCTCCTCGCTGAGGATCTCCCAGAGCTGGAGGTTGATGATGCCCCACAGCCCCACGTGATGGTGAATGGGGAACAACCCCCATCAGGGGAGTTACAGCCCCCTTTCCCCGTGGTCGCTGCCTCACAGCCACTATTTCAGAGAGAGCTTTCATTTGCTTGTTTTATAGGTTGTATCTTTATGAAATAAAGGTATATTTAGCAGCCACAAACAGAGGCAGCTTTGAGTTGATTTTTATAATCTTTTCCTGAATAGACTTGCGTCATTCCAATAAGCCCCGGACAAAAGAGTGGACAGTTGTCTGAGAGTCTTTTTTATAACATTTCTCTCTTTCTATTGTTAGAGAGCTGCTAATAAAAGAACCAGGAGTCCATTAATTCAGTGAATGAACATATAGTAAAGTCAGTTCCCTCTTGAGAACAA